CACCACTTCTCCAAAGACCTCAAAATAAGAAGCAAAGCGTCCTGATTTTGGTTGATGTGTCTCACCCTGAGCCAGAGAAGAGAAAAGCAGAGTTACGAGCAAGCTGACACTGCGCCCTGGGTTTGCTCCGTTAACACAGGATCAGGCGCTTTCGATCTATGGGTTGGGAAAAAAAAAGAGTAAAAATAGTAAAACGCCTGCATCTCACCTACCCCACAGCTTACAAAGCCAGGCACTGCAGTATCACACCAAAAAAAAAAAAAAGTCAATCCAAGGGCAGAACCTGTCAATCTTCAAAGTCAGCGTTTCCGAATGTGTAGCAGAGACTGACAATGTTTTCCACTCTCTAAAGCCTGGAGTTTGAAACCTGGCAACTCTGCACTCACATTCCCTTTCCACTTTAAGTGCCATTTGATGGCAGTATAACTGGGAGGGTCAAAAATCAGCTGTCACCTGACAATGGCCCCCTTCCAGAGGCAAGGCCACGGCCCCCGCCAAGACGCAGCAGAGGTCCTGATTTCAGTGTGGCCATTCAAAAACACTGGGCTTTCTTGAGAACAGCTCTTAAAGAAACTCTAAACACCAAAACACTCTCAAGACTACAGATCATACTGATGATAAGAGAAATTAATCAAACTACTAGAAGGCAGGTAAGAGCCTTAAAAGAGAGCTTAGTTTGGTGAAGTGTCTTTACGACTCATTTATTTATCCCACTGTGCCTCCTCTTTACTTTACACCAACTTCCGAGAAGAACAAGAAACACCTCCCACTTTACAAGGAGTCACATGGAAAAGACAAGAGGTAAAAGGTACAAGTTACTCCTTAGGAGGTTCCGATTGGACACAAGAAGAAAATTTTCGGCAATGAGAACAAGAGAGAAAATTTTCCACGCTGAGAACAATTCAGCCATTGGAATAATCTCCCCAGGGAAGCGGTGGATTCCCCAACACTGGACACTTTTAAGCTTCAACTGGACAGGGTGCTGGACCATCTTGTCTAGACTGTGCTTTTGCCAAGAAAGGTTGGACCAGATGATCCTTGAGGTCCATTCCAACCTGGTATTCTACAATGCTATGACTCTGTCTGCTTAACAAGGTGAAAAGCTGATGCTCTGTTATTAGAGTCTTAGGGACATTTGGTTGTATCTATGATTCTGCTGCAAACCCAAAGTGAAACAAAATCCTTCTATTAAGTGCTGATGCATTAAATAGACTTTGTAATGCACACACTTCCTCTCCTCTTTTCGGGGATGGGGAACGATGGTAATTCCATTATGAAATCCCAATTCAAATGTCTTCACAGTAAAGGTCATTATTTAATGTCTTAAAAAATACTATGTGTCTACCAGAAGTAGCAAGGGAATTATGTGAATCCAGGGAGGATGGTTTACACTGGCAAAACAACGGTGTTGGAATGCTATCAGCAACGTCTGTGTACTCCTAAAAGTTCCTGGGAGCAGCCCATGGTACAGAACTAGGACCAAACACTGGTTATAAACGGAAATCATGTTGATGGTGTTCTCCTCCTGCTAAGGTGGTCTTAATTTCTATAACAATTACGCTATAGATGGATTTACTTCTGGAGACAGCATGGTTAATTAAGCCTTGCATGTACCAGAGAGTTCCCCTGGGAACTACACTGGACGAAGGCTGTAACGGTTGCTGCTCAGTCTATACCTCTGGGAAGGTGCTTCCCTTTCTTAACGAGTACTCCCATTAAGTTAGAACTACAAATAGATGCCTGGGATGATTCTGTGCAAGAGCTC